AATCATAGAGCTCTTCCTCAACAGCTGTTTATGTGCGTCATACACTGTATCAAATTACTATCAATCAAAGGTATCAATGAACAGAACGTTTCTCTACGACACGACAGGTGGCAGCAGAGCAGCAAACATGGAAACGTGCGTACGGTAAACACAATTTTGGTTAAGCTATTTCGATATAAAGTTATTCAACTGTACGTGGAACGATTAGATAATCGGTCTTCAAGGTAACGCACGCGTTATTTAAATGAAATATTGTTCGCGTTGATAATTCTGTAGGCTGTAAAATTGTATCGAAACGAACAGCTGAAGGGCGTTTGATGGACGAGTTGTCACCAGAGGCAGTCCACAGTGCCAGTCATTGACCTTTGCGTTGTTACAACTTACAAGGTTTGCTTGGCTCAGCACAGTACTCACTGACTTGGCAGTATTGGCTGGGAGCCTAGGTAAAATTGTATGTTTAATGCTGGTTTTTCTGCTGTGCATTTCATTATGTAATTAAACTAAACTTGGAATTTGGATAGGTACGGTAGGCCTACCGTAGGCCTACAGTGCACGAATCAGTCGAATGAAGTTAAAATGAATATTAAAATGAAAATTTATATTCATATTCATAAATATGAATATTAATATGAAGTTATTATAATCTACATATGCCAATAAAGAACTCTAAATATATATATAAAATTAAGGAATTTTCCGTACTATGATGAACCTATATCATATCGGGAGTGAATAATAATAGCGCAGTATGACTCGCTCGAAACACAAGAAATTCAACATTTCCATGCTCAATTTACCTATGATTTATTACGTGAAATCCAATAAACATGACATCAGAACTAGCGGTGAACATCCAACTTGTCCTCACACTTTACTGTGTATATATACCTCTTATTATGTAGTTATAGCTTCGAACGTCAGACGTGGTTTCAATTATGTGCACAGCCAAGTGACTGTCGATCCCACACTGTAAGCGCGAACAAGAGGCAGATTGCTCTGAGACAGCTGTTGGCGGGTTTCGGCAGGGATTTAAATGCAACTTGCAAAGACGCACGTGCTTCTATGTGTGCAGGCTCCCTGCACCGACCGCTGGCTCTAACCCACTGCCGAACCCCGCCAACTGGTGTCTCAGTGCAAGCTGCCTCTTCTTCTTATTAGATTTCACGTAATAAATTTAAATTTAATCTCTCTTTCGTGCAACTAGTTATAACTTAATTTTAAATAAGCTAAACCAGTAATTATCAAATATACTTACAACTAAATTCGCTATTCCGCACGTTGATCAGTAACATGGATGCAGCCACCAGACAATGCTCCTCGAGTGGCTAGTTCAGACGTGCTTTGACGCCACATTTTTATACGGCTTGTGTACCCAAGGAACCTTAAAGGCATAAGACGACCATTGATTATGCAATTTTAACGAATGCTACAGTAACTGGCACCTTGTGTAGTTAATAAGTACATTACCTTATAGCCAAACGCGTATTAGTTTGTCCAATATCACTGCTGGTTACTAAGAAATATCCAATTGAAATCCGCGGTCAAATAAATCCGTTGTTGACAGTTACAACCCGCCATGCCGGCTATGACCGGCTGTAACCGGCGAGGCGGTGTCATACAGATTATAGTGCACCGGACATTTTCGCACGTATGCTCGGCCGTCAGTGATTTCGATCCTTGTGGTCTGAGTGCGCATGTCCGTACGTTATGTTTTACTCTTGGGATTCGGGAATAAATGTATATATATACGAAGATCTTGAGATTACAAGCAACATATAATATTGTGAAAAGGATATGCCGTCACTGCCGTCACTAGGCAAACAATTTACCCGGGACAAACGATTCGATGCCTCAACATCCTGTAGCAAATGCAGGGCCCTAGCTAGAGATTTTTTTTTTCTGTAGCCAAACAATTAGCGCAGAATCAATTTTCATTAGGCCAATTTGGATTCCTGTTAGCCACATCTGTAGCCTAACATTTTATGAGCACAAACAGGCCGATAAATAATTTTTTCTTTTCTGTTATTTTTTCACAAACTTTTATATGCATGAAGTACAAAACTACACTTATTTAATGCAAACAAACTATTATTCACCACCTGTCTATGACTGAGACACTAACACTATGACATTCACCACCAATGACTCTGACTGACTGACAGAGACATTCAAATTGTCTGAATTTTTTTTCTTCACTGCTGGACAAGGAAATTCTCCTATCTTTTCTAGCACACCACTGGAACATGCACTTTTTCAAAGTCAAACATCTTCTTCTGGGCCTTCAAATTTTGATGGTTAGAATGTCACAAAACACTTTCTGTTTTCAGGTGATTTTCTCAGAGCTGTTTTAACCAAATTATGTCTGCTAAAACCCCTCTCCACATCAACTGTTGTGGATGGTAGGGTCACAAAACAACTACTTTTTACAGTACCTGACGCACAATACGCACGCACGCGCATGCCACGTACGCACGCAGCGCGCGCAGTACAGTATAGGCAGTACTATACACACATTATATGTTATTTACAGTAATACTAATTTTTACAGAAGAAGCTTCTTCACAGCACATGCAGTGAAAAAAATACACGGGGGCTTGGGGCGAATTAGCCCCCGAAAATGCCAAAAAGAGCCCCCGTAAATTTGCATAGAGTTCAATTGCAAACCAAATTTTAGAGTGCTATTTTCCTGCACGCGAGCTTGAAAAGTAGCCCCCAAAAATAAATCATAAAATAAATAAATAAAATTTTTTCCCCTGAGCACATGCATATATATACTCTACTACTTTTGTAACTTCGGGATGCTATTGAACCAGAAAAATTAGCTGCTCATCAAAGCTGACTATATTCCCCAGTTAGTACTTATCAGCTTTTACTACTTTTTACAGTACCTCACACACAGTACACACACAACACACACCTACACGCACGCACACGCACGCACGCACGCGCGCCGCACACACACACACATGCGTGCACGCACAGGCGTAGTAAAAATCATTTGACTTTTGCCAGCGCCGTTGCCGTGCCGTGCCGTGTGTGGAGACAGGCCTTTTTTAAACCCCAGGGTTTCTTCTGAGGGGAAATTAGACAACGGTGGTAATGCACAGTTTGGGGAAAAACGCACATGATGGATTCAAAGGCGTGCAGTAGGCACGAATGTGGATTCTGCAGGCAGACGCGGAGGAGAGAGGTATAGAAGGGTTCTGGGGGTCTCCCCAGCAAAATTTAAAACATTTGAATGTCTTAGACTGCATTTTTGATGCCGCCCAAAAATAAAAATTTCACCCTTTAGTTTAAATCTTACTCTGTTAGCAGACCTACTAAGTCTCACGCTGCGCATTTCGTGGGAGACTCACGCATCTGCACCCATTCTCCCGCCTCCGCCGCAGATGCTCTACGCATTCTCACGCATTCACGCCAAAGAAAAAAAAAAAGAAAAAAGCAGCCCGCGACACCCTGTTACTCACGTCCGTGGCTGTGCACATCGTGGCTCGTGCTTGCTTACTGGACGGCATTGATTGAAGTACGGGAGTGGGGGTGGTGGAGGCGAATGCACTGATTGTTACAGTCGCGCGTGTGTGGTTATTGCTGTATATCTATAGGGTGGCACCGCGCTGGTATGAGAGAGCGACAGCAAAACTTTTCCGCATCGAGGAAAAAGCTGCAATCGGGAATGAAACCGCCGCCGCCGCCGGGAATGTGCGGCACGCAAAAAGAAACATTGCTGTTTCGACGATCAAATATGATCGATGTTTGCTGGGTCATGTTTATTACGGGAAAATTACGTTCGTCACTTTTTTCGCGCAAATAAGACTTTCAATCGCCAGATTACTAATTTGTTCGCCATTGGCGAATTGGCGAGTGGTAGCGAGGGCCCCTGACATGTGAGGTCACGCGAACCGAAATCGATGTTTATTTTGTTGGCAATAAATTTAGCGTTGGCGCCAGATTACACGAATTTACGGATTTCAATTAGACATTTCTTAGTAATTAGCAGTGATATTGGACAAACTAATACGCGTTTGCTATAAGGTAATGTACTTATTAACTACACAAGGTGCCAGTTACTGTAGCATTCGTCAACTTTGGCATAATCGATGGAAATATTATGCCTTTAATCTAGTGCAGCGTAATCAACTGGGCATATACCGATACAATCTAATTGTATCTCTATGAATGTTCACATATCAGACCTTATTACTAGAATAACACTCTTTCTATATTAACATGGTCAAAATAAAAATGTAAAAATTATTAAAACATGATTTGTCCTGAGTGTGAATGATAAATCCGATGGCTCCCAGAGCTCCTATAATTCCTATATTTTCTATAGTTTTATAGGAGTTGCCTATATTTTGGGGAAAATTGTTATAAATCCTATATATTTGACTGGTTGCCAAACCATGTGACTGTATTATCTGTATGATCAGCAGTAAATTTTGGATTTTCTGTATCTGAAATTGAAATGTTCTATAACAATATTTGCAATATCTCATCTCTGATGCAACTGGGCCCTTTTTCCACGAAATGCTGATCTGCAAGATTTGAAAGAGGCTCCAAATACGCCATATACACCCGTCAGTATGATGAGACAACAAATGCACAGGGATGAAAACAGCTGGATATCGCTATCCGTTACTGGTCACCAACTTATGGCAAAATTGTAATCCACCATTTGAAAAGCTACCTAATAGGACATGTTACATATACTGCCGCAGGTGGACTTCAAGGTCACTTCCAACCAAGTAGGCGACAAGGATCTGGACATTGGGGACAAAACACGTCTGACAATGAAGACTCGTGACTGGCAAGGAGAAACCGGTTCTCCTGGGAGCTAGGGCATTCTTCACCTCTGCCACAGAACAAATACTTGGGAAAATGCCTTGCTTTCACGGACATAGACGTGGATGAAGTTGATGATCAGTGGAGACTATACCAACAGGAAACTGTGCGCCAGGAATTGGTATATTATGACACCACAGTTGAAGAGGAGGTGAGAGAGAAACGAATTGCCACCTACTGGAAAAATATCAGTAAGATCTCGCATTCCAACAGACAAAAGAAATTCCCTGCATTACAACGAGGTGTCAAAGCTGTGCTGACTTTGGCTCGTGGCAGCGCTGACATAGAAAGAGGTTTCTTACAGAGTGGGAAAAGTGTAACCGCTGACAGAGTGAAGCATCCATCAACGCTCTCTGCTGTACAGCAGATGGACTGAAGCTCTTCGGCAACAAGCCCCACACAGTGACAATCACGAAAGAGTTTATAGCCAAGGGACGATCTGCTCACATGCACTATGTGAATCGGATTGAATAAGAACGACAGAAGAAGGAAGATGATCGGCGTAAACGAAAACTTCAAGAGGATGAGAGGAAAGAAAAGGACGAAAGAGACAGAAGAACAACACAAATGAGCAACGACCTGAAAGACAGGCATGGCGAGCTAGCCAAAGAAGAAACTGCACATCAGGAGAAGTTAGATGTTGGAAACACACTTCTCGTGGAGGCCAACTATAAACTTAAGAAAGCCATTGCATCGAAGAACCTGAAGGAAGCCTCTGTGGCGCAGACCGGCCATGACTGAGGCTGCAAAGTAAAATATTTGCCAAGCTACAAAAACAATGGAGAAGACCCAGGAGAAACAGAAAACTGTAGAGAAAAGAAAACAGATTCTAATAGATTCATATGTGGAAAAAAAAGCAAAGAAATAGCTGTGGCCTAGTTGAGATGTGAACGCATCGCTGAATATGGACTATCATAGCAGGGACAAACCAGTTTTCCTGTTACCAAGTATATACCTGTGTATAAAAGTTGAACACAGATCGGCCAACACTTTTATTAAATACGCCAAAATGCCCTATAATAAGCATATGAGTTGTCCTATAAACTCCTATATTTGAGAATAAACAGTCCTATATTTCCTATATTTGAATGATCAAAATGTGCTGGGAGGCATTAATTAGTGATATAGCAGAATACAACTTTGTAACTGTTCACCTAGCCAAATGTTGCTAGATGTGCATTAACCTAATATAATAGAAATAACTGGAATGGTGGAAATGACCTAATGAAGGGGAAAATATTGAAAAGAAACAGGCACATAAATATATAAAAACAGCTGGAAATTAAGACGTCTATTTGACAGTTAGGGTATGTCAGAGGATTTTTAGCTTTATATTTGTAGGTATGTTGCACTCGACATACATTAAAGGCTTCGGGGAAAACTCTGGGTATGTCATGGATTTCGTTCAACTGTTAATCAATAATCCATTAATGTCTTATATCTTTGCAGATATAGCAACCTTAACAGTCATGATGTCATAACAGACAGCATCCCAGTGTTCTTCCACGACATGTGATACCTCTCTCTACGTAACACATCTGCCCTCGTGAGTTGTTCCATCTAGTCAAGAACCATGCATCTTCCTACTAAAGAGCAGCTTCGGGGGATGGCGTAAGTCGGACGTTGAAACGACGACATCCACACAAAAGCTCCTGCAGGGGGCGCCTGTGATACGCCTCGAGTCGCCCACTCTGTTTGCGCCGCGCCGCCGTCGCCAAGATGGAAAACGATGACTTTCTAGTGGGCATCATCGATGACATCATCGCGCATCAGTTCACGCCGCAGCTGCCGAGTCAGCGGCGTTCATTCGCGGCCGAGGACGAGCTGCGGACGATCGACTGGCACATGCTGGACAAGCACAAGTTCTACCCGCTCAGCATGACGACTTCGTTCAGCATCCGCTGCCTGCTCTACCCGTTCACGGTCATCAAGACACGCCTGCAGATCCAGCGGCAGAAGACGCTCTACAAGGGAACGTTCGACGCTTTCTACAAGATCCTGCGCTACGAGGGACCGACGGGTCTCTACAAGGGCTTCTGGATCAACAGCATCCAGGTTGTGTCCGGCGTTGGATACGTCACGACGTATGAGGGAGTGCGGCACATGCTGTCGACTTACACCAGTTTGAAGGACAACAAGAAGATCCAGGCGATGGCAGGGGGAGCCTGCGCGTCCCTCGTCGGGCAGACGATCATCGTCCCGTTTGACGTCGTCTCGCAGCACATGATGGTGATGGGTCAATTCTCCGGACGCAACCGGCCGTCGCAGGTCACCGTGCCGACCCTCGGCATCACCGTAGACCTGCGTAGAGGCAGCACGTTCAACGTCTCCATGGCGATCATCAGGGAGCTGTACAAGAACGATGGCCTCGGGGGATTCTACCGCGGCTACGGGGCCTCCATCATGTGCTTTGTGCCAAACAGTGCACTCTGGTGGATGTTCTACCACTTATATGCAGGTGTGGCGCGAATAGGAATTATATGTGGAAGTAAAACTAGCTCCACGTGTGTTTGTTTGCGATATTTGGTAGTCGATGTGCGGTGATGTGTGAGGCCAATCGTTGTAGCAATGTTAGTTGATGCTGTAATATGAACTAAATATTCTCAGTTTCAGAATCTGATTTGAGTTTTTGTATTCGAAATTTGCCATTTCACTTGCCAGCAGTCACTTCTCATTCTCAGTAATAATACGAATAACCTTGATATTTTTTCCTTTGTGTTTAGATGCGCTAAATCACCTGACGCCAAACTACGTTCCACATCTACTAATTCAGTGTGTAGCTGCACCACTAGGTGGAGCCACTACAGCTTTATTGACAAACCCTCTAGATATCACCAGAGCCAGAATTCAGGTATGTCACAGTCGAGTAACAACAGTGATTAACTGTTATACGACAGCCAGCCGAGAATATTTACGTGATACTCAGACGGAGTACATAAAATAAGAGAAAGCATTAAATTTAAAAGGAATTATATGTTCTTTATTAATAGGTTATAGCTTGCCTTATTCACAGTTTAACAACCATATCATTTTTATCACGATACGAACGCTGTGTATCGATTATCGTATCGTGGGCCGCTGTATCGCGCGGTTCACCGATGTATCAGTGAATCGTTACACTACTCCCTGTGATAGCTTCATCTATGTATCGCTACTCACCGATGTATCAGTGAATCGTTACACCCCTACCTGTGATAGCTTCATCTATGTATCGCTACTCACCGATGTATCCGTGATCTGTTACACTACTCCTGTGATAAGCTTCATCTATGTATCGCTACTCACCGATGTATCAGTGAATCGTTACACCCCTGTGATAGCTTCATCTATGTATCGCTACTCACCGATGTATTAGTGAATCGTTACACCCTATCTGTGATAGCTTCCATCTATGTATCGCTACTCACCGATGTATCAGTGAATCGTTCACCTACTCCTGTGATAGCTTCATCTATGTATCGCTACTCACGATGTATCAGTGGAATCGTTACACCCCTACCTGTGTATAGCTTCATCTATGTATCGCTACTCACCGATGTATCAGTGAATCGTTACACCCCTACCTGTGATAGCTTCATCTATGTATCGCTACTCACCGATGTATCAGTGAATCGTTACACCCCTACCTGTGATAGCTTCATCTATGAACGAATCTTGGCTTTGTTATGCTAGGTGGAGCGGCATCCGTTGATGTGGACGGTACGGAAGCTGTGGAGGCAGGAGAGGATGGCTATCTTCACGAAGGGTTTGAGCGCCCGCATCATCCAGTCTCTATGCTTTTCATTCTTCATCATCCTCGGCTACGAAAGCATCAAACGCATGAGCGTGAAAGAGGAGTATAAAAGCGAGGTTCATTGGTGAAATAATTAGTGAGGTGAGGAATGCAGAAAAGTAAATAAAAAGCAGCAGTTGCCCTGGTATTAGGCGCGAATTGTAGTCAGCCTCTATTTTATATTTGACAGTTTTTAGTTCCGATATGTGTGGATATAGGAAATTGATTAAATGTCAAAGATAGAATAGTATCCATCTAATAATGTAACACACGGTGAGTTGGAGTAAACCTCTTGTTAAGTACCTGCAATGTGAGTTTGAACTTCTATCAGCCATCGTAAAGTCACTAGGGTAGAGCAAGTCTAAGCTAGTCATGAAGGGTAAATTAATAGGTAGGTAGATGTTGAGTATACTAGATGCTGACTGAGTGATGTATTTGGAGATTCTTTTGGCAAGTTATGAGCTGTAGCACAGGGAACCACGTTCTCTTGGGCAAACCACAATTAAGACTGGTTAAAGGCTTCCATATTTATCTAGGTGGGTGATATGGTATTTAAATGAGTTGTGGTAGAGATTTCACTGCCTTGTTGATGTCAAAACATATATAACTGTAACACTATCTCACTGCATGCCAATCAGAGCCACTGGTAGTGATAATTTCAAGAATTAGTTTTACTAATGTTTTCAATTGTTATAGTGTCTAGAGCCGTGATACTTAGTGATCATGTAGAAGTATAGGCAGTCATATTTTTCTAGTACATAAAATTAGGAAGTATCATAACTTGTAGGATTGTGCTTGCATTTGCTAGTTTACTAATTAATTATAACAATTAGTAAGGACAACCAGGCTACTTGATGAGTGATGTCGAAACATCCGTAGGTTACTTGGTAATGGGAAATTCATTGCATGCAGTGTATAAAGTAAATGTGAGTAGGAGGTAGCTAGCATCACAATGCATGTTTCAGAGATATAGTGCGGTGACATTAATTTCATTCGTGAATGGCAGCAGCTGTTTAATGTTAGCAGTTCTGCTTAACAATGTACGTATATTTTAATGCTAAGTGGCAATCTGTGCAGTGGCCGGCACAATGTACGTAGCGAATGTTTTTGGAGAAAAAGTCCATTGAAGTGCAAGCTATGCTTATGCTTAGTTGCAATAATTTTAACTGTTATACATATATTTGTCCGACAGATATATGTTTATAGTGTTCTGCGTCCGGTTATTTTATGAGCTGATATATTGTGTAGACAGCAATTCAGATAGATGTGAAGGAGACCAGGGTGGCTACTGTGGTGTAACCGTGTTCTATGTGCTGATGCTGTCATTTCGCTGCAGTGAAGGCTGCGTGAGGATCCTTACATGCTTTATAGAATGTGATTAAATATATATGTTATTAGGAGTGAATAAAAACAAAGTTTGTTTTCATTCACTCCTGATGTTATATGTATACGTGATACACGCTGAAGCATGACATATATATATAGAACGCATTACCGTATGTGTTACATGTATGTTATATATGTTATGCATATATGGTTTATGTATATGTTATGTATATTAGCTTTGTCATGAATTTTTTCTTTTTAGTGCATATTTTTTGTAGGCAGATATTCCCTATTGTTGTTGCACCAAGCAGAAGAAGTAAAGACATAATATATTAGTGCTCACTGTAAGTGTGTGCTAAATTTGCAAAATACCACACATGGCCAGTGTAACCGTGCACATTAGCTGGGCAGTAAGTTATATCTGCATCGTGTCGCGATAGTTTTATAGTCTGTAGGATTCGCCTACAAGCAATACAACACTTCCTAGCAAAACGTTGTTATGCTCTTATGTTTGATTGCGAGCTGCATGTGTACAAGTGCTTGCTAGCCCGCGGTGAACATCAATCGCTGCTGTTCCAGCTATGTTACGCTGGGTGGGGGGGGGGGCAGAACGAACCTAGTGTTGTAACTAAAAGACGGAATATGCTAAAACCTGGGGCCCGTTGTCAGAAACAAAACTAGTCTTAACATTAGCCTAGACTCGTAGACCGTTGACAGAAACATCGTAAAGTTACGAGAATGAAACATCCTCGCAAATTTCCTCTTACCATTAGAGAGCCGAGACCCTCTCGTATTCGTAACTTAACTTTTTTGCAAATAACGCATTTACACAAAGAATTGCAATTATATTGATATTATATTTTATAATAATTAGTAAAAGACGTTTTCATGGAAAACACATCAGAAACACTACTTAGCTATCGATCGTCTGCCAAAACAAACGTGTGGAAGTGACGTTTGTTCTCTCTTCTTTTTTTTATTTTGATGAGTCCTAGCGCTCGCTTCTTGTCTTGATGTGCAGACGACTGAGACGTGAGCGCGTCGTTGTTTCATCAGATATTATTTATAAGTGGTTAACCATCATAATATTCATAAATTGCTGTGATGTACAATAAACGTGATTTTGGGGATTTTGGGGAGTTTTGTGATCGATTCTCATCCAATCAGCAGCCTTGTGACAGCAAAATATCAGGAGCTAATAATGACAAATTTGTCATTATTAGCTTCTGAAAATATCAAGTTTCTGTTATCATGAGTTTTCACATCATCATGGCTGCGATGCGTTTCTGTCGACGCCATTCTCGTAACATTAACATTGTCATTAGTCGTAACTAAGTGCTATATTAGCATTAATATTAGCATTAACTGAACGATGTTTCTGACAACGGCCCCCTGCCTTTTAAAGAAGGCGTCTCCCCGTCTGCGCTTACCCCTTGATCGTTGCGTTGTAGGAGGGTGTGCTCTTACTTATTGAGATTGGGTTAAATTAGGTAAAAGGTTAGTAGGCCCAGCGGTTTCTAAGTGGTGTGAACTAGGATACAGCAAGTACAGTAACTTGCAATGAATACCTTACGTATTTTATTCAATCGCTGTTTTGTAATGCATGTGCTGTTGTAATTGAATTGTTCCTCCAAAGTCCAAAATGAGTGCCTATGAGGATATGACTTTCCTCGAATCATCATGTCAGCTATACTAAGGTAAGGGTTGTGTGTGGTGTAGTCTGTAGATTAGTTATTGTTTCTACTCAATTACTTTACTTGTAAATTATTTGGTAATATTTTTGGCGGGATTTTTGGGATAAAAATCGTGTGGTATCTACGATCGTACTATCGTGGCTATCGACCGAAGATAAATTTTTGTTACAGAAAAATGGGGACATGCTATCCATACGTGTGATCATGTTCGAAATGAAATTTAGTGTTTTTAACTTAAATCTAAAAGTGTACTACGTTACTTAATGACAAAATGTCAATAAAGTTGTTGATTTTTAGCTCATCTGACATAGTCAGATGCAGCTTGTAGAATCGCATGAGCGTACGTCCGTCCGTCCGGCCGTGCGTCCGTCCGTCCGGCCGTGCGTCCGTCCGTCCGGCCGTGCGTCCGTCCGTGCGTCTGTGCGTCAACAGTTGGGCACAAATCTTTACCGCTCGACGTACGGTCACGATATTCGGGGATAGGAAGGTGCGGGGGTAGGTCGCGGTGTGGGGAGGTGGCGTGTGGTCGGTGAGTGGTGTGGTGGGGTGGGGGGTAGCCTAGAATTTAGTTTAGGGGGTGGGGATTCATAATAGTGGGTGGAGATTGGATGGATAGGGCTTTGATCCACGCCCAACCTGATGTACCCTTAGAGGGATCTCTCCACATTGCTAAACCTAGAACCGGGATCGGGAGGTGAAACGCTTCCTTAGAATAGAATTTTTTATGAATGTTTAACTTTTAACTTTTTTAATTTTTGTTTCAGCCAGAACCACCTCCCAGACGTGACAACTTGGTTGAAAGGAATATACCCCAAAATCGATCTATCTATCTATCCATCCATCCATCCAGCCATCGCATGGCATTGGCATGCCCATGCCATGCCACTGCCCATGCCATAATCATCCCATTCTCAATCTGTTATCCCATCCAATCCCAGCCATCCATCCCATCCTCTTCTTATCCCACTTGCCATCGCTATGCCATCCATGGGTTGCGAATGCCGATCTGCATCCCGCATCGCATCCGACCGCCATCCCATTCCATTCGCATCCAATCCAAACAATAACAAATAATATAAATAATATAAAGAAAAGACATGAAAATAATAAATAAATAATAATAGTAGTAAATAATAATAATAGTAAAAGGAAATAGTAAAGTAATTTTTTTTAATTTTTTAATTTTTTAATTTTTGTTAATGAATGTAGTAAAACAAAAACTTATTTTGAAATTAACGCTGAAGTGGCAGAAGTACATACTAAAGAGTCAAAAAGTTAAGGGGGAATTTTTTTTCTTTAGCTGAAATTCGAACCCGGAATCTCGGGTTATGAAACCGAGCTCCTACCGATTACGCTACGGCGGCAGTCAAGAGATGCGGCATAATTCCCACATATGTGATGTATGTAAATCAATAACACTACCAATAATGCAATAATCTGAACGCACCGCCATCTATTGACAAATAGCATTTTTTTCGAATTTTGGTCTCAGCCAGAACCACCTGCAAGACGTGGTGATTCTGAATATATCTTCAGTTACCGCGATTGAGCGAAAAATCACGGAGAAAAGCGAGGTCAAACAAACACACACACACACACACACACACACACACACACACACACACACACACACACACACACACACACACACACACACACACACACAAGATTAGCTTCTTTATAGTAAGGATAGACTACCAGTAGGTATAGCAAAGCCTATTATAGATTTTAGATCTGTATTAGTAGTATCCTAGATATATGCTCTGAGCGCGAACGCGGTGGCAGGAGGGCGCACTTGATTCGGTTGCCAGTGAGTTTATCAGAAGAATACCTGGCTACAGTACACGTCAGTTGAGCGCTGTCGCTCTGCCGCACTTGTTTTATAAAGCTGTCTATCCGTATGTCTTGTTGTATGTTTGGCCGTATGTCTATCGGTCTGTCCAACTAGAGTCAAACGGAAGTGTTAATTAATTCCACAGTTACTCTTAGTCTTATTAGCCGCTCCAACTTGACCAAAATAACTCGCCGGCGCGCGTAGGGTACGTGGTTGGTACGTGTACGCGCGTATATGTATGCGTGGGTACGCGCGTGCATGCGTAGCACATAGAACAAGAATAGAATTCTATTCTAGTTCTATTCTGTTCTATTCTAGTTCTATGGCGTATCTCCGTGTGTGGGTGAGAACGATAGAGAGAGTTAGCTGGTATACCTTTATCAATGACTAACGCGTAGAATCGTACAATAGCGCTATCATATTTGATCATTATTCTTAATTCGTTACCTTTACAACTATTGCCAAAAAAACAACTGGGTCAAATCTGCACCTGGGAGTCGTGAGAAACTGTGTCACTGTGTAATAATTTTATGAGTTATTAATATTAGCGTGAAATTGACGTTTTGTGAAGTATGAGTTGACTAATGGCATGTCAGCATTAATACAAACCTACGTTACGGAAGGCATGAACTGCATTCTTGATTTCTCCGATTAAACATTACCTGGTTTAATTAGTTAGTTCATACTCCCGCTAGAAATAATGACTAGTCAAATGTATTTATTATAATATAGGCATTTCGTTTCACTGACTTACACTGTTACACATAAGCTAAAAGGAGTAACAATTATGGCATCTACTATATATGTGTAATGTAAAATAAACGCATACAAGTGTACGTGTATAGATCTGTAAGTTTCGAATCGTAATAGGACGACCATATGTAGTGAAAGCTTCGAATTGTAATCGCTTTGGACGTCAAACTGTATTAAATTAGGGCTACAACTGAAAGCTGTCTTAATTTCCAGCTGATACATTTCTTTAATACGAGAATACCAGCGGCAGCGGAAACAAGACAAAAACACCAGCTTTCGCCTCCTGACCTAATGCGTACGTTTGTTCCAGCTGTGCGACCTGCATGTGATACTCCCATAGAAATATATAGAGACTACCTATAGAAATATATAGAGACTACCTACAGGGCGTCAAGTTCCTATTTTTTCCTATTTTTTTCTATTTTCTGGGCAATTCATATTTTCTGGACAAATTCCTATTTTTTCCTATTTTTGAAGGCTTTTCATTTTTCTGAATCCAGAATTGTATGTATCCTTCTCAGAATGCAGGAATTTACATTTCAGGTGACCCAATTTTCAAAAAGGAACCCCCAGAGCCCCACCCCTTACTTTAAATTAACGTAATATACTCTTTACTATCACAGATTTTATTTCATCAGGCCATCTATTGAACACATATACCTATTTAACATATTTGTGCTTTGTAGTAAAAATTTATTGCACAATTTCTGATTAATCTTATATCATGTGCATGTTTAGTTTTTATTTTTAATTATTATCACAACTATTTTGTGGGTGCTTATGCATGTATAAACTGCTCAATTTTAACATGCATTTCTCATTAAAACCTTAAAATATTGTTCGCATGTGATGTAACTCCAAATATGTATATTAATAAAACCATTTGTGGTGGATCGGGATAGCTGTAGGGGTGTAGGGAGGCCAGCTAATGCAACAAATATTCTTACTTAACATATATTTTCTCACTAAAATTCCTATTTTTCTCCTATTTTTTCACATCTGAAATTTCTATTTTCCTATTTTTTGAGTGTCACTTGTCACTTGACGCTCTGTACCTATATTAATTCTATGGATACTCTACAACAATCGCACTAACGGGTTAATTCGACCGCGAAACATATCACAACAAAATAAAAACGTATACCAAGAACAGATATAAATGAGATGTGAGTGCTCTTGCGTCTACGAACGGTAGAGCGATACGCCTCGATATTC